ATATTGATATATATATATATATATATATATATAAATGTGTATGTTTATATATTTCCCTTTAAAAATAAGCAATCAATGGATGCTCGCAATTAAGAAGAATATAAAGGTGTGCACTTTGGACGTCTTCATCACTCGACCACCAAACATCTTTCAATTTCCCACCCAATCGCCTAATTTGACAAAAGATGTCTGGAACATCGTCTTCCATATATGTCGGCACGACACCACCATCATCATATCTTCTTGGAGATCGTTTCCTTTTACGTACTTTCGGTGCAAAGTAGTACGATGTGAAATGTGATATTTCTTCCGTCAAACTTCCCGCAACAATAGAACCTTCAACTCTTGCTAGGTTTTTGGCTTTTCCTTTCAAAGTTTTCCTGGCCCTTTCATACTGATACATCCATCCATAATGCACAGGTCCACGAAGTAATGCCTCATACGGGAGGTGGACAACTAGGTGTTCCATGACGTCGAAAAAAGTAGGCGGAAATATTTTCTCCAAGTTGCAGATTAAGACGGAGATGTTTTCATGAAGTTGTTGGACAACTTCCACTTTAAGAGTGTGGGTGCTCAGATCCCTAAAAAATGTTCTAATTCCTTATATATTACAAAAACAAAAATTATCCACATTAGTATATATATATATATATATAAATAAATTAATCATATCATCATATTATATTAATTAATTACCTGAAAGAGCTTCATGTACATTTCCCGTTAGTAGCTCCGCAAACGCAAAGGGAACTAGTCGCTGCATAAAGACATGACAATCTTTGCTCTTCATCCCGAAGAACTTTTGCCCTTTCTCAACACATCTTGAGAGATTTGAAACATAACCATCAGGGAACTTCACTTCTGAAGCCACCCAGTTGAACAATGCAAACTTTTTTTCTGATGACAGTCTGAATATTGGAATTGGAACTTGCCCATTGCTTTTTATATGTAGCTCACTCCTTGAGCAGATATCGGGTAAGTCCAACCTCGATTTTACGTTGTCTTTCGTCTTCCCTGGGACATTCAATATAGTGTTCACAATGTTCTCAAAAAATTTCTTCTCTATATGCACCACATCGAGGTTGTGGCGCAAAAAAAGATCTTTCCAATATGGCAATTCCCAAAATATATTCTTTTTGTGCCAATTGTGCTGAATACCATAATAATCAGACATATTACTGGGAACCTGCCAATTCCCACCACGAGGAGTTGTTTCTAGAGCACCGTAGTAATCGGTTTGCGTTTCGATTTGTTCTCCAGTTAAATATGGAGGAGGAGTGTATCTGACAACCCTTTTGTGCCTGAAAATTTTCTTGTTTCTTCGGTATGGGTGGTAAACAGGAAGAAATCGACGGTGACAATCGAACCAACTAGTCTTCTTACCATGCTTCAACTGAAACGCATCTGTCATTCCATTACAATATGGACAAGCTAATCTCCCATGTGTAGTCCACCCAGACAACATCCCATATGCATGAAAGTCACTTATGGTCCACAAAAGCATCGCTCGCATCGTAAAGTTTGTTTTCGTTGAACAATCATATGTCCTTGCCCCTGTTGACCACAAATCTTTCAACTCTTTTATCAGTGGTTGTAGAAAAATGTCGAGAGATCTTTTTGGATGTTTTGGACCAGGTATTAATATGGTCATGAATAGAAACTCTTGTCGCATGCACATCTCCGGTGGCAGATTATACGGTGTAAGAAAGACCGGCCACAATGAATATTGTCTCCCAGACATTCTAAATGGACTAAATCCATCAGTGCATAATCCAATATACATATTCCGGCTATTGCTTGCGAAATGTGGATGTACATTGTTAAAATGTTTCCAGGCTCTTGCATCTGATGGATGAGTCATCTCTCCATCCGTCTGAGTATGCTCGGCGTGCCATCTCATCCCTTAAGCAGTCTCATCAGATTGGTACAATCTTTTCAATCTGTCTGTGATTGGTAGGTACCACATCCTTTGGTACGGTACCCTATTACGCCCTCGACCTTGCGGTTTGAATCGTGGCTTCTTACAAAATTGACATTCTTCTAACTTCTCATCATCTCCCCAGTAAATCATGCAGTTGTCGATGCAAACGTCTATCATATCCGAGGGCAACTCTAGACTATATACCAATTTCTGAATTTGATAATAAGATTCAGCAGACACATTGTCTTCTGAAAAATACTCTTTAAACAAATC